GGGGGGGGGGGGGGGGGAAGGGAGAAAAAGGAAAAATAAAAATCAACCAAAAATAGAAGCAGTATGAACCAGTTGAAGAACCTGGCATGAGCATCAGGAGATGTAATTCAGACTCTGTCCCATGAAATTGTGCAAATCACTTTATCACTCTGTGCTTCGGTTCTCTCTGTGCTATAAATTACTTTATAAAATGTTTACACTGTTTGAATTAACTTCTCTAATAAAATGACTAGAGACATGAATACATGCAGTCTATAGTTAATGGTTATATCCTTTAACATGTCAAGAATAAATGTATTCAGGTGGATTTAAGAAAGCTAATTTTGGCTTTCAATTGCAGCTAGTAGTGACTGGCAACCCTAAGGTTAGGTACAGATGTACACATATTCTGCACTGAATGATCCAAATTCAAACCAAACCCATAATTATACAGAAGTTCAGAACACATAGTCCCAAATAAAAATGATGGAACCCAGTTTAAGCATCAAACTTCTGTCCCAGATCTCTTATCAAATCAAGTTAGTTTGCTGTCCTCTGGCATCCCAGGCTCCTTTGTGGGACCCTGCAAACCCCACTCCTTGCAGGGAGGCATGCTGGAATTTGGCTTGTGCTAGGCTTAGTGCCCAGTTGGCTCTGTCCCCAGGCTCTCACAGAGTGAAGTCAGCACAGTACCTGAAGATGATGGAGTGGGGTGGAGGGGTGCTTGCTTGTTTCCTGCAGTCTGCTTATACTCCTTGGATCTTTATCCACTTGCAGGGAGCATGAGAGTCCCTGGGTGGTTGTGCAGGAGCTCACCCAGGGATCCCTATGCCCCCATAAGCAGATGCAGACCCAGGGAGCACACTGCACTGCTGCATCTGCTGCTTGTCTGTAGCTGAGAGATGCCTGTGGCTGACAGAGGACCGGCAGGGTGGGGGTAGGGGGAGCATGTTCCCATCATCCAGTTGGGGGTGGCCCAGCCACTCAGCTGAGTTTGGCAGTGCAGGAGCACCCCCAGCTTGCTGGCCTCATGCAGTACAGGCAGCCTGCATGCCCCCCCATCAAAGGGCAAACTTGTGTTCTGCTCAGTACCAAACTAACCTACTCCATTTAGAGAAACTTGAGCAAGTTAGTTTCAATCCATCTTGGGCTTTTTGAATGTCTGTACCTGGCCTAAGTGATCACTGCCAAAGACATGGGGGAACCGGGGGGAGGGGGGCAGGAAGAGTGGAGTGGTTATTTTCAACAACAGTGGTGGCTGCATCAAGAACAACAATATTCACTAAGTGCTGATATCTAGGAGCATTTGATGTGAACAAAGTGTCATCTTCTGTGAAAGATTAACTGGTAGAACAGCTCTTTCTGCACCATGTGAAGGCAGCAGCATCAAAGTTTGTAATTCGCTGCACATTTAAAGCAGGCTACATACTTGTAGTTTTGCTGAGGAGTTTACTATTTGTTCAGTAACTTTCTTGTTGACAGGTTCATCTTTTGCTATAAACAACTCCCTGACTCTTTTGTCTGTGCTTGTATATTCAGACTCTTGTATGCTATGTTCTTGCATGTAGGAAAAAGGGTTTTCTGTGTACAATTTTGCTTTTTTAGTTTAATATAAAGACACACAGAGAGAGAGAGAGTATCAAAGGACCCACCCAGATGTGTGTGAGGAGGTCAGGGTTCAGAAGGAAAGGGTCAGTAATGTTGGAGGACCAGAAGCCAATGCTGAAGGACACTTGGGAGTCAGTCTGAGTCCAATGTATCATGCCAGGGGTTTAGATGGGTTTGTGGTTAAGGCCAGCCCAGAAGTTAGGAACCAGAGTTTTCATGATAGATTAAGCAAGAATGAGGTACTGGGAATCCAAGGCAGCACATGGCAAGAACAAGACACAAGGGTCAAAGACTGAAGCAAGGCAGAAGGCAGGACAAAAGAGGCAGAGGTAGAGGCAGTGCAGTCTCACTCCCTTTCTATCACCACTTCCGTAGTCCCAAGCACAGGGGGACCAAGCCGAGCCATAGTCCCAAGTACAGAACCTCTTCTGCTCTCCTTCAACTTTGAGTGGGTATGTAGGGTTTCTGGGCTCAGGAGGGGACAGTGGCAGTAGTGAACAGCTAGATTCAGCTAGGGGACAGTGGTAGCAGCATGCAGCCCAGGTCTTCAGCTATGAACCCGGAAGACCTAGGTTTGAATACGAAAGGTCCTGACAGAGAGAAATTTCGGTGTTCAGTATTTTCATGTGAAATCTGAAGTTTGTACTTTAGTTGAAAGCCCAGTTTTCAATCAGAAGAG